TCGCCGGCGCTCGCGCTAATCCTGTACATATGTGGATATAACGTCCGTCCGCGCGTACCGAAATGTATAAAATCCTAGTAGTTAAATAAACGCATTATCTTGTACATATTAAAATCCGAGTTACATTGATTGCTCTTCCTTATCCGCCCTGAGCCAATTTCGCCGCCCGTTTTCCGACGAGCTACTCCGTGCGACGGAATAACGGCAGTTGTTACAAGTATATAAATTTTTATTAATTCCCCTTAGGGTAACAATGTATTTACACGCTCTCATCCTTAATCCTAACCGAAAAACTTTTTACCTCTAACTTACATATAACTTACATCTAACTTATTCAGCTAACCGCACGCTCGCCACACACACGCAACGCCTACCTAACTACCTCCCACTCCTTTCTCGCATCCCTATTTGACTTCCGTTTCCGTTACAAAAACAAAAAAGACTTCTACCACACACCAACTTTTATACTCTCTCCTTTACACACACTGCTCTCTCCCATTCATTCTCATTCATTCTCCCTCTCGTCCCCCACATTCGTCTATCCATTCATTCCCTCCTTTATTCTCATCTCTTCCCACTCACCCCCCTCTCCCTTCTTCCGTCTCCCACCCCCACATTCCCTCTCCTTCTCTCTCTCTCTACTTGTCTCAACCATTCCTCACCTTCACCCCCCTCTCCCAACATTCTACCCACCGCCTCCTGCTAACTTTCGCCCCTTCTCTCTCTCCAGCTCCTGCACTCCTCCCATACATGTTCCCACGTCTCCATTTTCCCCCCAGATGACCTACATAATTTCTTTTCTTCTGCCTCCCAATATCTCCCTTCCAACATCTCGTTGTCTACCCTGAACCTTAATACCCTCTTCCACCTACTCTCCCCCCACCCCTTACCCAAATACTCCGGCACCTCCTCTCCCTTAACCCACCCGTACCATCTATTAAATTTCGATGCTCCTATCCTCTCCCATCTTTCCGTCCTCTGCCTTTCCCTTTTCCTCCTCTCCAATTCTTCAAAGCAAACCTCCCCCCCTTGATTCTCCCATTCCTGCAACTTTACCCCCCTATCCTCAAAAAACTGCCATCTCTCTTCTTCCCATCTCGATAACTTTGCCCCTTTCTCTATTCTTTCTCTCATCTCTCTTAGACATTCCTGTGCCAAAATACTTCTCTTTCCTTCCCACAACCTCTTTTCAAATCCCCACGCTCTTCTCCCCGCTCTGCTTCTCAACATTTCCCTTTGTATCTTCTCCCTAATCAAATACCCCGGCGTCCTGCTCTCAACACCCAATACCCATCTCAGAAACCTCTCGTGTAATTTTTTCCACCCCTCTCTCTCTTTCCACCCCCATATTTCCACCCCGTATCCCATCACTGTCCACACTAACGAATCGAACAACCAGATCCTCCTCCTTCAATCCTTCCCAAATCTCCTTTTTCCTATCCCCCACACTTGTCCCATTATTGCCGCCGCCTTCGCTATCCTCTCCCTCATATGCGCCTCCTGTCCACCATTCCTCTGTATCATATATCCCAAATACCTAAATACCTTTGTCTCTTCAATTCTCTTTCCCTTCCATCACCATGCCACTTTACTCATCCTCCCTCCCCCTCTCTAAATCTCACTATCTTCGTCTTCCCCACATTTAACTCTAAACCCTTCCCATCCAAGTACCTTTCTAATCTCTCTATCATACTCTTCATTTCACCTTCATTCTCTGCCAGCAGTACCATGTCATCCGCGTATGACAAGGTATATATTTTTCTCCCCCCCAGTCTGACTCCTCCCCACTTCACCTTGCCCATCTCCCCTTCCAAATCCACTGTCAGCAAATTGAACAAGGCTGGGCTCAACGGGCACCCCTGCCTCACTCCTCTCGCCGTCCAAAACTCCCTCCCTATTTCACCTCCCACCCGTACTCTACTCTTTACTTCTCTCAAAACTTCTCCTACCCTCTCCACCAAACTCTCTTTTACCCCCCTCTCTCTCATGCTTCTCAGCAATATTCCTCTGTCCACCGAATTAAACGCCGCCTTCAAATCTACAAACATGGCTATTAATTTCCCTCTCTTTTTACTAATTTGTCTATTTATTAAATAATTCAACACAAAAATGTTATCTACCGTCCCCATACCCTTCCTAAACCCCGTTTGATTCGGTGGAACTATACCTTTCCCATCCACCTCCTCCCTTAATCTTTCCGCTAACGCCGCTGTATATACTTTATACAAAGACGGCATTATAGTCACCCCTCTGTAGTCCCCTGTACTCTCCCCCTGTCCCTTCTTCAATATCGGTACCACAACCCCCTCCTTTCATCCCTCTGGCCAACGTTCCCCCTTCCATATCTCGTTACAACACCAACGCACCCAATCCTCCGTCTCTTCCCCTCCATACTTCCAAACCTCTCCTGGTATCCCATCCACTCTCATTGCCTTCCCATCTCTTATTTTTCCCAACACTCTGCTAATTTTCTCTTTCCCCAACTCTCTTTCCTCCACCTCCCTTTCTGTTCTTTCCTCCCCCTTCACTACCCTACTCTCCACTCCCCTTAACACCCCTCTAAAATATTCTTCCCAATCTGCCATCCTTATACTCTCATTTATCCTTGTCTTCCTCTTCCTTTCCCCACCTACAATTCTCCATACCTGTCCCTCCGTTTTCGCCTCTTTTACCTTCTTTTCCCATCTTTCATTCTCCTCCCATTTCTTCAGTTCACACAATTCCTTATACTCTCTCTTTTCTCTCCTGTACTCCCTCCCCTCACCTACCTCCCTCTTCCACCTTCTCAACGCCTTCCTTACTATTCTTTTTTTCTCCCTGCAATCTCCATCCCACCAACTCCTTCCCCAGTTCCTCTCCCTTCCTTTTCTTTCTGCCTCCATCCTTTCTATCATATTCTTTATTCCCAATCCCACTTCCCTCATCATAGTCTGCACATCCCCCCTTTCTCCCACCTCCCCTTCAATCCCTGATAAAATTTCTTCCTTCCTTCCTCGTCCCACACTCCCCTCTGCATCCCTTTACCTCTCCTTTCCTTCCTTTCCTTCCCTCCGCTTTTCATCCATACCACTACAGGATGGTGATCCGAATCCACCAGATCTCCCACCTCCAACCTTTCTATTTCCTCCCTTATCCCTTCCTCTACCAATACATAATCGATCACCGATTCCCCTCTGCCGCCCGTGTACGTCCAGCTTCCTTCCTCATCCCCCCTTTCCCCTCCATTCAATATTGCCCATCCCTTCTCCCTAATATACTCTATTAGTAATCTACCCTCCTTATTTATCTTCTTATCCCTCGACTTTCTTCTTGCCATTTCCTCCTCTCCATCTTCTCCGACTATACTTCCCCCTCCACCCCTGTCCTCGCATTAAAATCTTCCCCAACCAACGTTTTCACTCCTTCCCGCCTTTTCTCCATCCATTCGCCCAACTCTCATAGCTTCTTTTTCATGTCACCATTTATGTATACTCGCACCACCCTTAATCTTTCCATCCCATATTTAATCTCTCCCCATATAATACTCTCCCTTTCCTCACCCGTCTCCTCCCTCCGTACCACTATCTCCCTTTTTATTCCTAGTATTATCCCCCCCATCGCTCTCCCTCTCCTGTTCCTTTTACTCGCCCCCTGCAACTGTCACTCATATCCTCTCGGCAATATTTCCCTTACATTCCTCCAATTTTTCACTTCCCCTCTCTCCGTCTTCCATATCGCCATCTCCCTCTCCAATTTATCTATCCTCTCTCTTAATTCCCCTCTCTCCTTACTCCATTTTTCCTCCCTATCCCTCCACTTCCCCTGCATCCTTTCTATTTCCTGCCTCATCATCTCTCTTTGCTTCCCCGCTCCCCTTCTTATCTCCTCCCCCAGCGCCCTTAAACCTTTCCTCATTTCCCTCTTTAACTCCTCTCTTAATTCTCCTATTAGTTCCTTCATTTCCTCCTTCATCCCCCAATCCTTCGGCGATCTCCAACTTATTGCTCCTCTTAAATGCCTCCTCCTCCTTCTTCCCCCCTCCTCATATTCCCTCTTTCTCTTCAAATATTCCTCCGAATTACTCCCCACACTGTCACGTCTCTCCCTTCCCACCTTCTCTATACTCTTTGACATTTTCCTTTTTAACTTTCTTCCCACTCCCCCGGTTTTCTCTCTGTATCTCCCCTAATCCTCGCTCTCTGCCACCACTTTCCCGCCTTTCTCTCTACACTCTGCCTACTCTATGCTCCAACTCCGGCTCGCTCCCGCGCTTTTCTGCCTGACTCCCAGCGCCTCCACCCTCTTCCAATCCCTCCCTAACCTAGCACACCCTGTCCTCTCTACCTTCCTAACTCGCCCTAAACCCTTTTCCCTACTCTCCCTCCAACTCCACACACTCCCCAAAGCCTTACCCTGTTCCTCCACCCACCAATTCACACTCTATCACTCCTACTTTCACACTGCCACTCTACATACGCTCACACAAAAACACCTTTCATCCACTTACTCTACCGGAAACGGAAGCCTAGTGTAGACAAATATATTGGTTATTAAATTTTTGATATTTCTACGAAATAGATGTGTCAAATCTGTTCGAATAATTAATTGTTCCCAGAAATGTAGGCATAAAGATTGGTTTCGGGTTGAGATATTTAAATGACACTATAAAACTCGTTTTGCTTTAATAACGAGAGTCATCTGTTATATTTTTTATCATAAAGTTAAATTTAATGTTTTATTTTACATATTACGTCATATTTTTTCAAAAAATAGAATAATAAAATAACAATATAAAATACAATATAAAATAAAATTAATTTGTTAATTTTGCTATTGATCGAATTAGAAAAATAGTAATTAAAAAAAATTTTCTGTACAGTGAATTAAATTTTTTTAAAGATGCAATTGTCTTACAAAAGATAATTTAAAAAAAAATAAAAAGGCAATATAAAATTGATTAATTATAAATAATGAAATATAAAATGTGTATATAAGGACAAAACAAAGTCCAAGACAATGAAATACAAATAAAGTGTATCTTAAATAATTTGTTATCATTTTATATTTTATCAATTTCATGTCATTCGTTTATGTAACATTATTCAATTTTATTATGCAAATACAAAAACTACTTCTTATATATGTCTCAAAATAGGTAATTACTTTTATTTATGCTAAATTATTCTATTTTAAATGCAGAAAATCATAAAGAAACAAAAAACAAAATTTTTACAGCTTAAAATATATGTACTGTGACGTAACGTTTTTCGACAACGTCCGTCACAAGTGCTCATTAGCGCGACCACGAAGGCAAAAGCGGATCCTGCGGCCTCCAATTTTCGAGAGCGAGCGCATCCGCAATTGTACCGTGTTTTGCGACTTATTTCTGTAATAGATGTAAGTAAGTAGGTCATTCCGCGACCGAGAAAAGCGAGTGACGGCGACTGTACGGAAGAGATTGTTGTGTTAAAATGTCGTTTCACCAGCTCCAAGCGACGACGACCAGAAGACGAGAGGCTACCGAGACGTCCAGCCAGACGGGAGCACAGGTCACAGGCGTAATCACTACTTCTTTTTCTTCTGTACGGAGCCCTCTTACTGCAGTCCATTTTTACAGAACCGTCGAAGCCAGCCACCGGCCGTGCCAAGAGCCCGGAAGACAAAGGGCGCAGGAGAGCCGACCACCAGGGCTCGCTTCCAGATTGCGAGGGCGAGAGGCCCTCCCAGCGAGTTTTAATTAAAGTTTCGCGCCCGTTAGGTCACAGCGGGTCACGGAGTCCGCGACCACCGCGACCCGCCTGCGGCGCAGGGGGTCACGCAAGAGGAACTCACGTGACAGAAAGAGGCCGCCGGAACCGGCAGATGGCCCCGCTACCAACGTGCTCCCGTCGCCGCACAGGACCAGCACTCGTGCCGTGATCGTCACCTAGACAAGACGCACTTTGTAAAGGACACAGGATCCAATGCCGAGCCTAAGTATCGAGAGCTGAGACAAACGAGGAGTCGGGGAGCATACGGTGAGACGAACGTCGCTAAGTTATAAAGTCGCCGATTCTCGCAGAACGAGAGGGCCATGTACCGAGTTATTTTACGTGACGGGCGTAACGAGGGGGTAATCACTACATAAAATGTTGTCCTACAGATTACATGATTTCATTAGATTTCATACGATTTCATCTGATTACAAATGATTTCATCTGATTACACAATGATTTCTGGTGATTGCATATGTAATCATCAGATTTCTAGTGATTACAATGATTTTATTTGATTAAAAACACATATTCGATTGCTTATTTGTTTTAAATAAAATAATTATAAGACATTGGTCTTTGTAAATTCAAATTGAACTTCATCTGATTAGAAAGTAAAAAAACTTACGCAATTTGAGGCTAAAAAAATATACATACAGGGTGTCCCGTAACGCTTAATTAATATTTCAAGGCGTGAAAGAGAATGAAATTTTGAACTAAAAGTTCCTCTTTCAATTTTGGCTCAGACCATTATTTACAGAGTTATTAACGAATAAAGTTAATCAATCAGATCGCGCTAAGCCGGAATACGCAGGAGCGTAGCGTGCCGTACGTGCGGCTCTTCGCGCTCACTTCACAGGAGAATGTATGTGAAGTGAGCGCGAAGAGCCGCACATACGGCACGCTACGCTCCTGCGTACTCCGGCTAAGCGCGATCTGATTGATTAACTTTATTCGTTAATAACTCTGTAAATAATGGTGTAATGGAGATAATGTAATAGAAGAGAGAGAGGAACATGAAAGTAGGGATGAGGTAGGAGAGGTGGGGGACGGGCCCACAAAGAGAGGTACTGAAAGCGAAGGCGAAAGCAGTCGGAGCTCGAGCCACGTTCCCGAAACTTCTTGACGTGGCAACGAATACCACGAGTGCCGGAGCATCCCAGACATGGAGTATTGATGGCTATGACCGTGAGAGGAAGATGATTTCCTTAACCCATGCATGATTTTGATGGCGACGCTCATAAATTGAAAGAGGACTCGAGATTTGGCTGGGTCCCTATAGCCAGTAGACGGAGAACTCCAAGGTTGCGCACGGCACGGAACGTGGCTCCCATCGAAGACAAGCTCCAGCATCAGCAACCCGTATTCAGCTAAGTAGAGTTCGTATTTTCTCTCTTTCTCTCTCCCGCGTGTATTGACGTCGATGGCTTTATTGTAATTTGCGCATTTATATAATTCTTCTGTATAAGCGACGGAGATATGAACGTGTACATATCTGAATATCATCATCAGGAGACGCGGTAGCGTCTCCCGCCAAGTACATTTTTTCGCTACATAACGGTCAGGAAATATTTTTGTACTTACAGAGACGCTACAGTGTATCCTTTACCGGACGGATAACGTTTCTATAGCAATAAATTATTATATCTTTTAATTATATGAATATTATCGGTAAATGCCTATTTTGTGAAAAAAGATCGGAAGAGCAC